GGGGGACCGAGGACCGAGCCTAAGTTTCCTGATTTGTTTACCAAAAAGGAAAGAGACAAGTAGCCGCCCCCATCTCCAAAGTACCCGCCACTCTGTCACCACAGCGGCTTCCCTGCCAGTGGCTTCCCCTAGCTTTGTTTTTTGCTTTTAAAAGTTATATTTTTTCCCCTGTAAGGATTCTGCTGGCCCCGGAAAGGGCCCTTTCCATGGGGAGGGGGAGTCATTGCAGTGCTTGGTGGCTGGGTGCCCAGCCCAGCGGACCCAGAGCCCTGCACGCGGGTTTAACCGGGAGTCAGGCAGACTTTGCGGGGGACCTGGGTTGAAGGTGCCCAGCAGAGCCCGACGCTGGGCCCCAGCACGCCCGGGCCTCCAGCGGCGCCAGCCTGGGCCACAGCCCTCAGGGGCCGCGCTCCGGTGTTGAGAACCCCCCGCGTTTGGGCAGGTTGAAGGTTGGAGAACTTCGATTGTAGTCCCACCTCTCCTAAAACTCGAGGCTATTGTTTGAGGCATGTTTTAGGGACCTAAGAAAAGTGTACTTTACCAAGTCTTTGCTTTTCTGCCTTCCTGTCCCCAAACAAAGTAAACTCTAACTTCGCGCCCAAGGGGCACAGAGAGGGCGCGGTTAACAGGCCACTCGGCGCCCACGGAGGGGATCCCACACCGAAAAGACCCAGCTGGGGTGAGGACCTCTTGCAAAATTCAGAGGAGGCCCTGCGGGGAGACAGACGCCGCTGTGGGTGCGACACCCGGGCGTCTTCCGAAGCGTTTCAGGTGCTGTAGGCCACGCAGGCACTGGGAGAAAGGCATCCGCCAGGGCCAAGTCCCCGCCTGGAAAAGTGGAGGGGACCGTGGCGCCTTGGAAAGCTGGGGCCTCCGCCGCCGCCGAGAAGTTACCCTTAAGTTGAGAGCCCCGCACTGTCTTGGGACCCAGCAGCCGGCTCTCCCCCCGGGTGGGACTATGGCGCATCCCCGGCTGAGGCCAGAGCAAACGTGGGAATGGGGTCCCCGTTCCCAAGGGCTTCTCTCGGACCGAGTGGCGCTTCCCAAGCTGCTTTTGAGCCCAAGGCTTTCAAGCGCGGGGCCAGGGGCTGTTCCGGAGCCCGGGGCACCCGGAAAGCGGACTTTACTTTGGGGTCCTGTCAAGAACGTCCCTCTCAAACTTTACAAAGAAAACGTTACAATGCAATTTCACTCCCATCTCCCCTCAAAACCCTCCTTCCTGCCTCCCCAACTTCAGGCTCCAGCGTCTCTTGGGTCCCTGGGAAACCCACGCGCCAGGACGAGAGTCAGAAACTTCCCTTTTGGAGCCAAGAATCGCGCCGGCCTCACGGCGCCCAAAGGATCCTCTGTCGCGGCAGCTGGCGGCTGAGGGTCCCCCAAACGGCTTCCCCGACCGGCGCCCCCATTCTCTCACTGAGCGGGGACCCCAGGGACCAGCAAGAAAGGCCTCATTGGGCCAAAGGGGTTCCCTCCGCAGGCAACCCATAAGTTGGTCTCGGGGGCCTCAGCCCAGGGGACGTCCGCAGCCCTTCCTGGAGGGTTGGAGAGACCCCAGGATCACCAGGGGTAACCCACCCCCAGGCCTGACGCAGGCCTCTGCCACCCCGGCCCGGGCACCAGCCCTGAACTCTGCTCCCGACACCCTCTGGCCCTTTCAAGTTCGCTTTCGGGGTGGCAGGAAGCTTCTGGGATCACAGGCTCTCCAGCCCGCACATCCTGCGCGCGGGAAGGGGCGAGGGTGGAAGAGCGCCGGCGACTCTTCCTCGCATTGTTCCCTCCCCGGCCCAGGGCCCCTGCGACAAACTTCTGAGGGCTGCGCACAGCCAGCGCGAGTGGCTACTTGGAAATGCGGCGAAAACACAGCCAGCGAGAGTCGCTAGTTTTGTTAGCAATCGGGAGCTGGGAAAAACACACGAGGCGCTCAAGTGCCCCACGCTCGGGTGGCCAGGAGGCGAGAAGCTACACCGACACCCCCCCCCCCAAAAAAAAAATCTCCCTGGGCAGGACCCGCTCAGAGCATGGGGTTGGGGCCACGTTTGCTTTAGCTCTGCCCGCCCTTCCAAACTTGCCGGGGTCGGAGCCAGTTCCCCGGGTGCGCACCTGGGCCTTGGGGTGCCCACCTGCCTTGCTGGGTCCCTTCCTCTTTCTGCAGGTGACTTCCCCGGGCTGAGTGTCCCTCCGCCACACTGGCGCACTGGTTACCTCCGCACCGACCCGGGGGCCGAGAACCCGCTCGGGTGTCCGGGGCGACCCTCCTTCCCACTCTCAGCCGCCTCCGCCCGCAGC